TCGGACGCTTAACCGACTGCGCCACCCAGGCGCCCCTGTGAGCTTTTTGTAAACCAGGGAGGGCTTTGTAATCGTCACGTGCTATTACTGCCACTCCTACAGGCTTGACACCATAGGGGTGATGGTGAATACACAGGACATCAGGAAACTTGCCCTCCAGGAACTTCTGGTCCAGGAGGAAGAGATAAAAAGGGAGCCATACAAAACGCTCCCTGATGCAAGGCACGCACACAGTGGTAAGGTAGATTCGGAGGGAAGCTGTGGGAGTCCAGAGGAGTCCAAGATTAGGTGCTGCTTCAGGGGTAAGATTCAAGATGGAAAGTGTGTTGGACATGGGCTGCAAAAACACAGCCCAGGATGCATGGCAGAACCATGAAAAAGATAACTTTAGGATCTCCCAAATTTTCCTGGCTTCTCATTAACGAGGATCATGTATCTAGTTATTCATTTCCTAATTCAGCCACCAAATGCTGTCTCATTTTGCTTGGGCCCAACGGGCAAAGGAACAGCAGAATCAGGCTCTCCCAAGGTGTAAACTTCTCTCTGGGATTAGATCAGGCTCTTGGAAAAATGCCGCTCTTTGGGACAGAACAGATAGATCCCAGCGAGTAAGTTTATCCTTTGTGGTCCACAGTTATCTGAAGTAGGAGGAAATTAGAAGTGAACTCAATCACTGGAAGCAGGCTCAGAGTATCTTATACGCAGATTCTCGTACAACTTATACATACAGTTATAAAAAAGTCCAAGGCTCTTTTCACTACACCTTAAGAAAGGCAAGACAGGATGGGAAGGAGAGAGGGAAGGGTGGGTTGGTCAAGGCCAAGAGTCCACCAGAATCTCCCAGATGGAGCGTCTGGGCAGAGTTGCAGGCCGGGACCTTCTGTGCTTGAGCCCCACTGGGAGCCTCCCATTAAACCCTGTTCATGCTGGTGGGGCACCCAGTGGAGCCAGTGTGCCCTGGGGCAGAGATGACAAGTCAATACAATGAAATGCTATAAAAGGTTCTGGAGACTTTTCCCTCCTCTCTGTTCCCCAAAGGGGCACTGCGCTCTTCCTGTGATGTGGGCACCATGAGTTGTACAACCATCTTGGCCGTGAATCCCCAGGTGATAGTGGGCAGAGAAGACACGATCGTGGGTAGGAGGACTGGAACAGGCCTCCCTCTCTGCCAGGCCCACTCCTGGGCTCTCGGGAAGTTGGCTGCACAGTCAGGATTCGAACTCAGACTTCCTGACCCACACCCTCTTCTTCAGTTCTTACATGGTGGAGCCTCCTTCCCTCCCTGGGGGGAGGAACTCTCTCATCGGAGGGCCCATTTCACCCAAGTCACCTTGTCTGAGGCTCTCACTCCCTTTTCTGGGAATAAAATATCCCACCTTAGGAATAAAAATAAACAAGATTCATGAAACGAATCAAGGGTGGGATAGTGGAGGCAGCTCAGAGGCATCTCTGTGTGTTGGGCGTGAGTGGGGGGAAGCAGAACAATTTGGAGAGAGAGAAGCTGGCAGGAGGAACAGGTAGCCCCACAGCTTTCCTGTCCCTGGGGATTCTGAAATTAACCAGAACCGGATCTTGGCTGTTGCACCCTCCCCTGGTGCCGTTTCCTCTGCAACCTGGGCCTCCCGGGCTCTGTGAGATGGACCCTTGTTAATGAGGACCAGGGAAGGGGATGTTTCCACGCCCCTGCAGGAGACATCAGTAGGAAAGAATTTGCTTTGAGCAAATCTGACTGCCCGGTTTCTCCTTTGATCCACTTGAATGAGCCCCACTGGCCCCTCTCACCCCTCCCCCAGCCACCTGGAGGACAAGAACCCACCTACCAAAAGTAACTGGCAAAACTGTGGGGATTGGTTTGCGCTCCTTCCCCCACTCTTATTTTTAAAAATACATTCTTTTGCTCGCTGCAGTTAATTACAACCTTTCAGAAAAACTGTGAAACGAAATCTTTCTGGAAAAGCTAAAAATATTTCCATCTTGCAGGTAGTGCGTGGGGATTGGATTGTGGATAGTTGGTGGCATTGGCAGCTTCTGCGAGGCCGCTTTCTTCAGCTGGTAAGTCGCTGCAGTGTCCCCTTCTGACATTCAAGGGCTGGGGTCCGAGACATGACCAGGGTCACTTGGAGGGGTTTGCAGGATCCATTTGCCAATACAGAGCTGCTCAGAGGCATACGCCAGCTTATATTGTTTAGAGATGAAAGATTATTATTATTGTTATTATTTTTTTTGTTATTAGCAAGTGTTATAATCTTGGCATGAAGACGCATGCCAAAGAGATAGCTAGTCTGGGGTGTGGAGACACCAGCCTGATCACTTCTAAGCTAGCTTACCAGCTGCTGGAATCCGAACGTGGAGAATCAGAGTCCTCCTAGGTCATTGGCAAATACCTGGGGAATACTGGGTCCCCGGGGTCTTCTTTCCCACATAGCTAGCATATGCTATGCGCCATGCTGCCAGCACCTGGGGCAGGTGGCAAAGGAGTTAGGGGTCAAGGCTCTAAGTAAGCACCCCGTTCTAGGACTTACAAGGGACATAGCTTATATCTTCCTTGCTTCGAACAAAACTGATGTGTTAAAGTCAGGATTTTCCAAACATAGATGAGGTGGTGAGCATTTGATTTGCAAAAGGATTCCCAAGGTCTCCATTAGGGATGACTTTCAAAATCTATATCGTTGGCACAGACCTCTCTCCTGAGCTCCATATCCATATATCCATTTGCTACTGGACATCTCTACTTCCCCATGTGTGTCCCTCAGGCACCTCAAATTTCACCATGTCTAAAAATGAACTCTTAATTTTTCCTCCTTCCACCCCCAACCTGATTATCCTCACAGATTCTCTTTCAAGGTTAATGGAATCACTGTGCACCCAGCCAGGAACCTTCCAAGTGGTTTCAACGGATTCCTTTCCCTCCCCTACCACGTACAATAAATAACAGTCACCAGGCACTATGAGATCTTACTCCCTGGCATCTTTTGAATCTGTGCCCCACTCTGTCTTCCTGAGTCGGTGTTGAGCACAGCTCCCCTACTTCCCACTCACGCTAACGGCGAGGGTTTCCATGTTCTCCCATTAGATCGAACTTCCTCCTACCACCAGGTGACCTTCACGAACACATACTTGGGCAGGTTACTAGTTGCTTGCTCTGAAAACCTGTAATGGCTCTGACCACCGTTAAGGCAAAGTCCCTAATTCCTGGCTTGGCACTTGTCCTTAAAGGTTTTTTTAATATATATTTTTTAATGTTTACTTTTGAGAGAGAGAGAGAGAGAGAGAGAGAGAGGATCCAAAGCAGGCTCCAGGTTCTGAGCTGTCTGAGCACAGAGTCTGAACTCATGAACCATAAGATCGTGACCTAGCCAGAGTCACATGCTTAACTGATGGAGCCACCCAGGTGCCCCTGTCCTTCAGGTTCTGATCTTCATTAATTCTTCAGTCACATCTGCTCTCTTATACTATGCCCATGTTCTACCCAGATACCAGCGGTTCCTGTCCACGCAATGCACTTCAGAAATCTCCGGGCCTTTGCACCTCACTTGCTCTCCCCCAGCTTAAAATCAGAGTGAGTCAAGGTGGAGGTCTGGGCTCAGGGCATAAAGGCGCAGAGAAAGGTATCCTTCAGGAAACGTGCCCTAACACCTGAGGGCTTCGAGGAGACTCTGAGAATGAGTACAAGGGCCTTGATGTCCGTGTGGTGGTCTGGGGTGGTAAAAACCCAGGCATCTTATTTTCCTCGTTTTTCCCAGGACCAAGTATTGGGGAGAAGCTACAGAGAGGAGGCTTGGTGGAAAATGACGTATTCTCCAGAGAGAACGTGAACAGGATCTTTTAAGATACCACTTCAGGGGCGTGGGGGAGAGGGGAAAAACGGGGGATGGGCTTTGAGGAGGGCACTTGTGGGGACGAACATTGGTGTGGTATGGAAGCCAATTTGACAATAAATTATATGAAAAAAATATGTACCACTTGGGACCAGGCAACGGGGTCCCAAGTCTACCCTGGAGATTGCCCACAAAGGCTCTCTCTCCCAAGCAGCGTTAGATTGCAGAATGGTCAGTGTAGCATCTGCAGAGCTCGATTCTCTTGGGAGAATGACACGGGTCTATAATGAGGCAGGTTGGCGGAGTCCTCTGCTGGCAGAACTACAAGGAAGGCCTCCCAGATCAGGCAGTAGTGGGCCTCCAGCAGAGGTGAGGGTGAAAAGGCAGGGCGGGAGTTAGACAGATCCCCCCACTGACAGAGGGGAATCAAGACAGGGCTGGGATGGTGACCAGATCCACAGGTCTTGGCTTCTGGTTTCAGATGGCTCTTGCGCTGCTGGCTACTGTGGGGCAGGGAAAAGAGCCCATCTGAGACTTGGGTAGCGTCTGTGCAGGGAGAGAGTAAGACAGACTAGAATTTGAATTTTCCCTCTGACAGGCATGAGCTATGTGACCCTCAATCTCCATGTCCTTATCAGAAAACAGATAACAATGCTCCCCCTCACAGGGATGTTCTGAAGGTTAAGGAAGACAACATCTGGAAAATCCCTAATATGACGGTGGTTTTAGAGGGCGGGTCTTGACAATTGCAATTTCCTCCCTGGTGTTCCCCCTGCACCTGTGCCTTCCCAGATCACAAAAACATGGGATTGGTGGTGTTGGTAGGGAGCTTAGAGATGATGGGAATCTTTTCTGTTCCTCTGGAAGGAGGCCAAAGGGACCTGGGAGCTTAGATGCTGGAGTGATGGGGGTAGAGAGAGCTGCCCGTGGGCTGACAGGAGAGAGCCTGAGCTTGTCCATGCTGCTGAGGACAGGACCTTGGCTTTGGTGGACTCTGGGCCCTGCACAGAAGCCGACTCTGAGCCAGACATCACCCTTTCACCCAGAATAAATTGGGGGAGGGCACAGGCCCTGTCTGGAATGGTCTTCATTCTTTCTTCCCTCCCTCTTTGCCATTTCTTTTTCCCCTGGCAATCAGCCATTCTGGGGTAGGCACAGCACTTCACAATGAACTCAGTGAATTCTTCCAGGAAAGTAATTCTGAATGAGACACCCACACAAACAAATGGTTTGACAGTCTGGGATGTGTACGAGTGTGTGTGAGTGTGGGTAGTGAGGGTGTGGAGAGATGGGGAGAGGAGCTGGGAACCTGTAAAATCAGCTGGGATCTTGCGATATGGACCACTTCAATCCCATGCTTTCCAACCCATATTATACCGTGGACCGGAAATCTGGCTTCTTGCCTGTGGACCTCAGAAGTAGGTGATGAGGTAAAGATGT